CATGATCTGTATCGTCTCTGAGACGGCCTTTCGGTAGTGCCTCACGGCTAGATCGTTGAACGCTAAGGCGGATTCGGAAGGTTGTTCGTCAAAGTATGGGTTCTCAAGAAATCCCCTGTGAGCCACGCCGAGCGCAATGATGGCATGCTTTACCGAGTCTGAGTAGTAGCCCAGTGGCAGGATGTAGTTGCTCCATAACTTGGCGAGAGGGTTGGCGGTTCCGAAATCCGGGACAGTACATCGATTGACGTGGTGGAACATCAACCTCTCGAGGGTTGTACCGGAGACGTCCCAATCTACAGGAGGAGATAGTTGCATTACTGAGTTGATAGATCGCCGCTGAGATGGTGGAATCGAGCGGGTCGAGCATGATGATGCCGGGCTCGGCCGTTTGCTTGGGAGCGAGGTCGGATATCCATCGCACTTGTGTTTGTCCTTGCTACACCGCTTACAGAACGGCTTCGCTTCATCGCACTTTACATGTCGGGCTCTGAGAAGGGAATATTTGTTAGCTGCTGGAGAACTAGAGTTGTCTACGTGGAGGATGAAGCAGCATAGTCGATAGTTGTAGGGCGAGGCGGAGAAGCCTTACTTGCTGTCAATGGGGTAGGTGGCGTCAGTTGAACCAGTCTTTAATAAACTACAGTGGCATCAGTGTTGTCACAAACCATGTTAGACATCCGGTCCTGACCTTTGATGCGCTCGCCCTAGTCCGCTTGGGTTTCTTGGGTGCGGGTACCACCGAGAAGACTCCCGTACCCGGGATCGAGGTATCCAATGACATGGTCGGCTTCGGTTGCGTAGTGTGCGTAATAGTATATGCGAGCGTATCTAGGCGCATAGGATTCACTGGTAAGAGGGCAAGGTAGCCACTGATAGGCCGTCGAATGCTGAATTCAGTACTCCGTACACCGTTGGGAGTGAGGCTCTCTCGGAAATCGGGTTGTGCGGGCGCAGGAACTAAGACAGGGGATACACTTGCCAAGATTGGCGCGTTCGGGCGGCGCCCACTATATAAAGCCAACGTATCGAATACGGACGATCGCGACCCTCGGCCGCCGTATGCCCCTGGCTGGTCCCTGCGACGTCAGCCCCTTCGTCAGAATCGACATGCGTTTGGGCGCTAGGTTTAGTCTTTTACGACAGAGCCAATCACACAGACAAAACGTAAGTTTTTACCTCATGAATTATGGGGCTGGTGATGGTGAGGCAGTTTTAAAGACTCCAAATTATCCAAATCAAGCCCACCGAGAAGAGAAAAACAGCTGCCTAGCCGGCGTGGACCACACGGCGACGCCGATAGATTGAGTAAAACGCTTCTTTCAGCCCTACGAGGCCGAGTGTCAGTCTTGTCACGTTTCTCGGGGTTTCTCAAAAGAGTTTGACCAGCCGATGATGCCCCCCAACTCCTAGTTTCTTCCCCGTCTCCCCTGAGATGGACATACACTCTTGGCTCTCGCCCCGTGGTCCGTGGAGTCTGGAGATTCAAGTGGCCCAGTCTCAGATCTCTCTCGACAACCAACATCCCTGCCCAGGTCACATTTTCCAACGGCAAGTTGGACTCGGCATCGAGTGCCGGTCGTCTGTGCTACGATTCGGAATAACGGCGTAAGGCCGCCGCCAATTGTAGGTTAGTCTTCCCTCAAGCCTCCGAAGCTCCGTGGCTTCTAGCGCCGGGCCTTTAAATCTACAGGGAACCTAAGCCTGGAACATGTGAAACTCAAATTGGCTGCTGCCTAGAACACGAACGCTTGCAACGTAGTATCGTTGTTATTTCAAGTCTGTCTACAAATTAACGATTAGAGCTTGTAGATTGACGTTTCCTACCATTAAGCCTGACTAGAGAGATAGCTAAAGTCGTCGGACAACGATCCCCTTGGCTGTCAACTCTATTTTTGTCTTTGGGAGTCACCTCTTAACGTAAGTTCTACTAGTGAATCTTCCCATCATTCCACATTGTGAACTAAATGCCGAAGACTTGCACCTGTTGAATGCACAAATTGGTGACTGCCCTTGGAGTGAATCAGGGGCTTCGCGCTCGCGTTCCACTGGCATCAATGTCTCCAGCTCTTGGCCCCAAAACTTACCATGCTTGGACAATCTATCTAGGATCATTAACATGCTTACCCACACTGGGTCCCCAAGACCCGTCCTGTGCCACGCTAGTCACCAACGCCGGCAGCGTCTCAACTTGACTAAACTTGGCTACGCGTCATGAAGACTTCCAAGGCATATTCTGCCCAGTTCCCGATGAGCTACGATGCGCGATTGATGTCACTGACCGAAACGTTTCTAGCACTAGGAACTTAACGATGCGCTAAAGCAGATGCTGGATAGCCAGTCATTTGGTTGGCATACTGCCAATAGCCGATGCGTGACGCGCTTGGGAATGCTCTGGCTTGAAGTCATTGATTGGCCGTCACATTAGGCAGGCCATGAACTTTTGTAGCTCGGGGTGAAGGTAAGTTTGCACACACGAGATCACCAAAAATGCCACAATGTATCGCCGGATCGGTTGTGGCCACGCGTACAACATGCAATGCTGAGATTTGACTCGACGAGGTACGAGATGTCATCCGATCTGATAGACTCCGCCATGGAAAGAGGTCTTTTCCACGGCTTTAATTCAGGTAGAGCTTTGTATTTTGAGACACGAGCTCAAGGGGGTACTTCCCCAGCCAAGTCTAAGCTCGGCCGTGTCAGTGTCGATCTGCAAGATTCGTCTAGGGGCCAGAAACAAGCTCTGAAGCAGACGTGCCCGATAACATGGGATGACATGGTGACACCAGCTCTCACTGGAGGGTGGACGTCGGCGCCGCGACGAGTCTCACTGACAGCTGTAGCTTGCGTGAGACACCAGGCGGTGTTCATCAGACCAAGCCCCGAAAACAGCCCCAATCAACTGAAGGAGGTCCTTTTGCTTTGATTTCACCAGATGATTCATTCGTCGATGCATATTACTACTAAATGATAGCAGCAAATACGGATTATGCGAATAGGGACCTTGTACAAGTATTGGAAGCTTGGGCCTCTCGGCACCAGTAGATATACTGAAGAGGGATACGGATACCACAAGTACGAATATAGTAATGGCAATCGGTACAGAGCAATATGGGGAACATCCCCCGTGTTCCGCGGAGATAACCTCCAATTGGCAATAGCTTCAATATCCTGAGACTATCAACGGCGCCCCCCGCATAAGACATGCAAGTCTGTCAAGGGTCCCTCATGTAACATAAACATCCAGGGGGCTTAAGCAGCCCAGGGGGAGGCTTGGGCTCGGAGGCCTCGACCCACCCGAAAAAAAGTCCGTCCTAGAGTTCTGGTCTGACCCATGCAAGTCAGGTAAGGCGTTCTTCGAATCTGATCGTAGGAATCACATCGACAGATTTACTGCTGAATATTGTTCCGTCAAGGAATGTTGTAAAGAATTGCTGATCCAATGGCAATGAAGATCCCTTATGGCCTACGTGTCTGTGCCAGCCCTGGTAAGCAGATCAATCATCTGTCGGTCGGTGCTACTCGGTCTTTTCCACACGAATCGGTCTTTTCCGTAACGATTTGCATATAGAAATGTACCCTACCACGGTAAGCGTGTCCGAGGGGCGCGGGTCTACGTTATGAGTGGTGTGACTGGTCTGCGGGTATCGAGGTGCACCTGGACACGGTGGTGGGTAGATGGGGCTCCAAATCGAGTCGACCATCTTAACTATGTGCATTCACCAGTTCACCAGTTGAGGGAAATTGCGAGCTGAGACAAACCGTGAGAATCTCCTGTTCTTTCGAGGTCCGAGTGCACTTTACCTTCTTGGTTGGTTGTGGTCCTTATGGTACGCTAGTATTAAGCGTAAATCTACTCAGCCCAGTATGACAGTTGCTGCCTTGGCGTTGGCGCAAAGTCTTTTTGTTACCGTTTTCGACATGGGAATAGTTGAGTCCGAGTGAAAGTTGTCAACTTGCTAGAGAGCTGTTAAGGAGAGACCTTACCTTATCAGGAGACGATCGATCTATCATTGATGCAAACCGCGACAGATGGGGTGGCCTCTCCTTGGAAACGGATAGAAACGACGCAATGCATCGAATCCCTCGCACCCTCCAGCATCAGAGATGCAAAGAGTGCGCGTGCCAAAGGGCCAAGCAAAAGGTTTGACAAATACCTGAAACCTCAAAATCGACTCGCGATAGCCGTCGATCTTGCAACCAGTTTCGAGTGCTGAAGAGCTAACATCTTACGTACCTCAGCAATGCGTTTCTTCTACACAAGCCTGGGCTTCGAAGGACTGTCACAATTGCATGATGGAAATTGACCCCTCACGAGACTCCACGCCGACGGACAAACATACAAGCGCTTCTCGGATCAAAACCGAGTCCCAGTCACCAAAGTCGGAAAACTCTGTCAGCTGAGAGACGCTGAACAACCTGACGGATTTATCGATCGAGTCTAGATTGGATCAGCCTCGAGGAACACTGCGAGTTCTTCATGCCACTTTGCTCGTCACTCGACAGCCCATCCCGATGGATCACGAGTCTTATCCAACTCTACGCTTCTACAGTGCCGCCATGTTCGACGCGGCTCTGCTGCGAAACCCAAACCTGCCGACTACCTAACAGTTCAGCATCATGAGAAATCGTCTTGAGATAGTTGTCGACCACACGCTTCTATTTTGAGAGGCAGAATCTCGCCTGTACGCGGTTGCTTGGGTTCTAAAGCTGTCAAACCCTACGAGAAACACCAAGTCCAACTGTGGATTGGTTCCAGCTACGTGGCGTCTAAGGATCGTCTCTTCGACATCATCGGCTCTATCATCTGCGGATCAAAAGGCACAGTAAACGACCAGCGACGGAGACTGCTTCGACGACACTCTCTACTTACCTTTTTCACCTAAAGGACTATACAGCTCGTTCCAGATATCGGACCTCCGAGCCAATCCTCCAGTCTACACTCAACAAGATAGGAGAGCAAAGATCCAGTCACCAACACACCATTTCTCACAACAAACTCAAAGACCCTCAATCAACTCTCCAACCTCCTCCCTCGAACCCTCAGGCCTCGTAACCCAACACTCCGCCCAGAACCACCCTTCCCCCTCCAACCCCCTCTCATCAAGCCCCTTCCGCCTAACATCCTCAACCGCAGCCATCTGCTCCTCCCTCGAACTAAACCTCCTCTGCCGAAAAACCCTCCCCTCAACCTTCTCCGTCACAAGCCCAAACTCCGTCCTCAACCTCTCCGCGACCTCGACAAACGAGAATACGCGCAGCACAAACGTCACCATCCACAACTGCGAGGGAGACGACGGCGAAGATGCCCTCGCTGCGGCGGCGATGCGGGTGAAGGTTGAGGCGCCGACGTAGCCTACCCCGCCTGTACACACCACAAGCTTCACATCGTGGAGTGCTTGGCGGAGGTCCGGTGAGGAGTCGTGGGTTTCGAGGTTCTCTGTGAAGCCGGCTGCGTGGAGGCCAGTTTTTAGGGAATACGATATCGCTTCCGGTGCGACGTCCAAGCCGATTACCTCCACTTCGTTTTTCGAATCTTGCTCGCGCCGCAATCTACGTCCCGCGAAGAACCGCTCGTCGGCCTCGATCTGCTCCCGAGAGCAGAGTTTCGGGGTGGAGGCGTAGTGTTCCGCCAACGCGTTCATATCGATGTCGTGGCGGAGGAGGGCGGCGTTGATCCCGTACGAAGAGCACACATCCAGGACCTTGACTTTGTTTGCTGTGGTCACGGTATCATCGCCGTTGGAGGTTGGGGATGGGTCCCTCGCGGAGATATGCTAGAGAATGCGGCTCACAAAGGGAAGTGCCTGCTGCGGGATTTGGTATTGGAGCGGCGTCAAAGCCGCGAAGTAAGCGCGGGGATCGGACTGGTTGTAGATTGATTTGAAGTCGGCTTTACGAGTGTTGTTGAACCGCTCGGGCTGCTCTTCGATCGTCATCTTGTCGTTGGGTTGCGAATGCGGAATGTATATACTATAAAGAATGATACTAGGAGGTATGGATCGTAGCTTGCTCTCTGGTTTTCATTGATGCTCGGTAGCAACCGAGGAAGTCTTGGCCAAGATATACCTCTTTCAATTGACATATTTCTTCGAATCAGGACATACTACATCTCCTACCTTACGCAAGGAAGTCAGGTACAGCGACACAAAGAAAAGAGCCAAGATCAGCGACGAAAGGCACCGGCCAACGAATTCCCTCAATCTCCTCATTCACATGTGCTAAAATCAAGTTTTCCGCGGGACCTGCATACGCGTGGGCTGTCTCTCACTCATATCTGTTGAACCGAACATCACCGTCCCATCAGGATCTCGGTCTGCAAGGCCGGGGCTTGCCTACCAACCATCACAGCTCGATCAAGCCCACTTCTGCGGCGCGGGCCGCGAGGAAGTGAGCCCGCTTGCCTCGCTTCTACTAACAGCCGTTCCTCTGTCGATGCAGTCAACGAAAAAGTCACTTCATGCATTAGCGGCGGGGCCAATCTGCACGACGAATGAGTCGTCAATGGTCATCCGTGAATCTTTGCTACTTTGCGTATCTCGATGAAGGGCCGCATCATGTAGGCTGCCCTGCCCTCATGCCGCCATGCGTGAGGCGGACGCGAGGCAACTGAGCGAACTTGTAACCGAGCTACAGCAATTGGCATCAGGGTGTAGTATGGGGACTTTCGTGAAGGGAGGCGGGGTCCGGCTACCAGTGGCCGGTTTGAACATATTTCTGGGAAATCTGCTTTCTAAGACATCACTCAAAATTTTGCAAAGCATCGTCTAGTTCTCAGAACAATTATGGTTGTATTAGATCATTACTATATCATACTATGCGCTCGTAAGACTAAGCCGTTACGTCTAGTACTTTCCCGTGATTTGGATCTGAGGGGTCTTGTAGACATCCCAGTTGTCCGCGTGTGTGGGGTTTCCGAAAGGTCGGAGAGCGGCAAAGCGCAGGGTGTAGTTACCAGGCGCAATCTGTGTGCCGTTGCCCAGCTTGCCGAACCACCAGTGCTCGTGGTAGGTCGCGCCAGCATTGCGGTAGATGTCGGTGATGGGGTAGGTGAAGGTATCGTTGGGGTCATACTGGGCGGGGTCAAAGGTCTGGATTTCGCCAGAGCCGACCCACGATGCGGCCGAGCCAATATAACCGTTCTGGCCCTCAACGGGAGGGTAGACCCACTGGCGCTCAGTCCAGCCAGCCTCGTAGATGTCCCAGCGTGTCTGGCGGGTTCCCCAAAGGAGCTTCTGGAAGATCCTAGGGAAGTCCTGAGCCTCAATGCTGAGGTCAAAGGAGTAGGACGCCTTCTGGCTGATGGGGATATCGTCCACAGTGGAGACAGATTGAGGCCAGCCAGCCTCGTGGACACCGCCGAGGGTGTTGCGGAGATCGGCACCGACACCGGCATAGGGAACTGAGACTTGCTCGCCGTTGCTGCCCTGGATGACGACCTTGCCTCCGTAGAGAGGCAGGCCGGTCGCGTTCCAGCCGAGATTATCGGGGTTGTTGAAGTTGACAGACACAGTCTTGGTCTCGCCAGCCTTCAGGGTGAAGTCACGGGGAAGGCTGATATCCGGAGTGTACGTCTTGGGGGCAAGCTGGGCGAAGGTCTTGACGCGCTTTGTTCCAGGAAGGCTGGAGGTGGCAGGAATCCAGGCGAGGGCATCTACACCAGCGCCGGGCTGAACGGAGAACTTGTAGGTAACATCCGACTTGCCGTTGTTGGTGACGGTGACGTCGTGGTAACGGCTGAAGTAGCGGGTGTCGTTGAGCTGGATCTTCTCAAATTCGAGCTGAGTGTCGTAGTTGAGAATCTTCCAAGCGTCAATCTGACCGTTACCAACCTGAGCCGGGGGCGCGCTGTAGCCGTAGTCCGTAGCAGTTCCATCGGACCAAGGCAGAGCGTACCCACTGGAGATGATGCGACGGGACAGAGCACGGGCGAAACCCTTGCCCTGGACGCTGCGACCACCCTTCTCAGAGATATAGAGCGCAGCGACACCAGCCACGTAAGGGCAGGCCATGCTCGTGCCCGACAGGATGGAGTAGGTTCCGTCGAGGTAGGTAGAGAAGATGTTACCACCAGGGGCGGCAATATCAGGCTTCAGCTGGTTGTCATACAGCAGACCCCAGCTGGTGAAGATGTTGGGGCGGTTTCCAGCCGGGTAGTCGAGAGCAATGGGGATCTCGGGGTTGACCGAGAAGTCAGCAGTGACGGTGATGTTGGCCTTGATGGCGTTGATGAAGGCAGCACCGGAGTCGGCAGTGATCATGGCGATCTGGCTGTCGGTGTTGCTGGTGCTGGGAGTCGTCATGGGCGATGCGTTGTTGTAAATGAGGATGTACTTTGCGCCCAGGGCAGCGAGGTTCTCTTGCTTGACCTGGAACGTGCAAGTTCCTCTACGAACCAAGGGGATTTTGCCTGTCAAGTCGGGACTGCCCGCCGGGTAGGGCGTGCAGCCATCAGCGGTGGCACTCGTATCGGTGTTGAGGGCGACAATCGGCCAGTCGACGATGGTGTTGGGGAAGTAGGTTCCCGCAGGAAGGTATCCGACGCGAACGGTCTCGCTGCCGCCGTAGGTAGCTTCGAAGGGGATGGCCGGGAAGACCTCTGTCTCAACGGAAGCCACAGCAATGACATTCTTGCCGGACGATCCAGAGCTACCGTAGAAAGGGCCGCTGGCACCGCTGTTTCCAGCGGAAATCGTGACGACGATACCCTCATCAACCAAACGGGAAGCAACTTCGGCCCAGGCGTTGTTAGACCAACCGTTTGAGCCACCGATACTGGCAGTGATGATATCGACACCGTCGTCGTAGGCGGCAAGGAATGACTCAATGAGTGTAGCCGTGTCGGTAGACGCCGCGTTAGAGAAGACCTTGTAGGCATGAAGGGTGGCCTCGGGGGCAACACCGACCCACGAGTCAGTCTTGCCAGCGACGATACCAGCAACGTGGGTACCGTGGCCGCGGGTGTCGAGAGGATCTTCATCGGGCGCCTTGGGACCGCTGGCCGGGTATGAACCATCACCAACAAAGTCGTAGCCATCGGCAACCTTGAAACCAGGGCCAAAACCGCCACCCAGCTATTATGTTGTAAGTGTATATTCGCATTCACGATGGGTGCAGCTCCAACTTACAGCAGGGTGCTTGTACCAGATACCGGTATCAACAACACCAACCTTGACACCCTTACCAAAGATGCCCTGGGCGTGAAGCTTGGCTACACCAGTGGCATTATGTGTCGAGTATGTGGGAGCATCCTCAGGCGCAGCGGCCTTGGGCTCTGTCGGCGCAAGCTTGATCTGCTCGTTGACCCAGACGTTGACGACGTCGGGGAGCTCCTGCAGGGTGTCGAGAGTGAAGGTGTCAGTCTCGATGCTGGCACCGGAGAAGACATTGCTGGCGAACTCCTTGACGACGGTGATGCCGTCTGTGGAGGCGACATTTTGACGACGAACGCGAGCGCTGGAACCCTAGAGTAAGAAAGACGGTGAGTGTCAGCTGGGGACTACAACCTTTGGGAAGGCTTTCTTCGGGCAGCAGCCACGCGCAGCGGGCACTCACAGGAGCGTATTCGATGATGAAGCTCTTGGCGATGAAGGTGGGAGTCTCCTTCTCATCGCCGGCTTCTTGGCGAGGGCCGAGGGCCGCAACGCCTCCAAGGTGGAGAGCGAGGGCGAAGGCGGAAACAGTGGCCGAGATGCGCATCTTGCCAGGTGCTGGGTCTTGCCTTGGTATGAACGAGGGTGAGAGAGCGCAAAGCTACCGAAGGAAACCATGTCAAGATGGGATCGCGGCGGCGGCGTGGTTTAAGTAGTCCTTATCTCACGCTTCTCGCTGACGAACAGATGCCCGTAAGGTGGCGTCGCCGATTCCGGGAGGCAGATGCCCATGAGCCCATGCCTGCTTAGCAGTGCGGCCAGTCTCAAGCTCGGCATAGCAAGAGACGTTATGAGAGGTAGCACAAGGAAGATGAAGCTACCTTGCTCATATTCCCTGTTGAAGACGTGATATCCAGGATTCATAGGCATGCTCATTGGCCGGAGCTACCAAGTTGTACGCAGCTAGCTGCATCTGTCTTGTGTGCGCATGTTTAGTTGCATGGCCAGGTGCAGAGTCGCGTTGAGCATCGGGTGCTTTGCTGCAAGGTCCAAAGACTGGGGGATGGGGAAGCCGAAGCATAGAGAGACAGAGAGAGAATGGGCATGCTCGCCCGGCGGTTGAATGGTGCGACCCATGAGGCGCGGGCCGTGCTATCTGGGGCAAACAACGAGAGTGTAATTTCGCAACGGTCCAGACGGGCGAGTCGCAGTCTTGGACGTTGATGCCGGTCAATGGAGGTTGTTCATTCGGAGAGCCGCCAAGACTTGGATGAGCTTCCTCGTTGGGATGCAGTGGATGGCACGGCGCAAAGGATGCAGGCCAGGCGGGGTCCAATAGTGCGAATGGCGTGCGGTACGGGTGCGCCGTTCGTTGGACACCTACCGCCTTGAGATGTCCTCCACAACCCGGCCGTTGTGCATGCCAAGAGGTGGTATCAAGGCCTAGGATTGTCTTGATAGCGTGGGTGGTGGATGGTCTGTGTCTGGGTGCAGTTCGACAGTTCAGGGCAGAGCACTTGGGCCAGAACTGGGCACGGGGGGCATCTCGCCAGACGATCCTTTGAGAGAAATGCTTCGTAGCCAGCACGTATTTCGTCGTCCGATGTTATCGAACTAGACACCGCATCGACGTGTTGATGAAGCTATCATGTGTGGCAAGGCAGCCAAGAGGTTGTACTTGTTGCTTGAAGGGCACGTGGCAATGGCTATGTGCCACCCTGTGGGCCTGTCGCACTCCAATGCAGGTTCAGGCACCGGTCCGATATGCTGGTGTTCATATCTGCATACGGATATTATCATTGTCGCGTAGTCGAGACATTGACAATAAGAAAGAAACCATCGCTACCGACACGGGAGTTGGTGACCGATGTCGTTGGAGAGAGCTGGGCCGCATCGATGGTGGCGTCTTTGGCGTTCATGGCGTTGATGGCTTGAGGATGTTGCAGAAAAGAGGCATACAGCCGCATGGTCGCCGAAACAGAGTTCCCAAAGTTCCGTTATAATTACATAGAGTCATTTCCCCGCTCGTTCAGGTACCGGTGAGAATGATAGGCGGATCCTGTCGTGGTTCATGAGGTGGTCCAAGGAATATGAGGAAGAATGGGGAGGCAAGGAGACGGCGGCGGGTGTCACGAGGGAAGGCGTCTGTTAGCGCCATTCGTAAAAGCGATAAGCTGATGGCCCGTGTGTTCTCGCTTAACCTGTATTAGCTAATGGATGCCGGTCTAGCCTAAAAAGGCAGCTGAGCGATTTGAAGGATCCACTTGCCCGAGGCCCACGGTACGTACCGAAAAGGGGTACCTCACTCAACCCCTCCAGGTTCTCTCTCTTCCTCCTACAACTGAACAACATCAAATCAACAACTTCTTTTCCTTTGACTTTGATCTGCCTTAGAAGAACTGCTTGTGGGAGAAACAACTTCTTCCATAGGTTGAAAGCCTATTGAGGCATGGTAAAGGTCCAATAGGTCTCACGTTCTACAAGATATCCTCAATGCCAGTCACCGCCGCATTCGCCCGATCACGAGCAGTCGGGCAACGAGAGGAACCAACAATTTCACTCGCATGCACATTAAGATTTGAGCCAAGTCTGGATCCTCGGCCTTGACCAACAGGCAAGCAAACAACTCTAAGACACACCCATATGCAGCGTCACATCGTTCGCATCCTATGTGCCTATTCCAGCTTCGCCCCCCACTCTCCTTCGTGGAGTACTTCGCCTGGCAACAGGAGAGCTGCGCCCTCCCAGGCACGCCTTACGCCCCATTCACCGTCCAAAGTCCAAGACTCCAGGCCTATCAGCTAATCAAATCATCGACTCATTTGCTGACGCGAGGAGCTGTTGGTTTGAATGTCTCTACCCGATGAAGATCAGCAAGCTCCCTCCGCCAACGTTGCCGGAGCGGCAGCCCGGGCGGGCTTCAAGGGCACATCTGAGGCCGAGACACCCTGCACCATTGCCTCATCTGGTCTCATGCTGACGGCATGTCGCGTCTCTTGAACAGCCTGCAACTTATTCCTTCCAAACCAGTGCGTAACAGAATGATGAAGGTCTCGTACGCATATCCACCACGCTCCATCCGGTCCATTGACCAATCCAGGCTGCCTCAGTACCTACTGGCGACTAATGAGCACTTTTCTCTGGATATACGCGCAAAACCCAAACGCAGGATCTAAGACCACATAGGAAGGTATCCGAAGCACACCAGACGAACTTGGAGCCTGGAGAACGTTAAAAGAAGTTCAGCAAGAATGGCACTATCGAATATCCGACATTGTGGTTGCTATCCCGATCAGGGAGGTAGATCTGCACATGTTCTAGAAGGAGGGGCGGCCGGGTGTGCGCATGTGCTGGGCTACCACATGTGCAAGCCACGCAGCCACCAGGCACCACGGCGCGATGAGGGGCACGAGGGGCTACAGAGTCCAGACATTTATTTCTCGTTTACAAGGCGCGAGCTTTCGGGGTCCTTCTGATGATGATGACCTTGCTCCCAAAGTAGAACTTACTGCAGGATACTCACTTGTCCACCCTCACCATGGACTTTTGAACCCCATTCTGGTGGCATTGCCAGACTGATACTGTTCTTTCTAAAACTTCCGGGAACGCCGCAACCTGAAGTACTGAGATGAAAGAGAGAGAGAGCTGGGGCAGCTGGCGTTTTCAGAAACTATGCCGAGGTCGGAAGCTGGGAAAAGCACACCCTCACATTGCGGCTGAACACCTCACGATCTTTTGCGCTGCACCTCCTCTCGGGGTAGGCCCCTTCAGTCATGACCAGCATCGTAATACTACTCCAAAGCCACATCTGGAAATCCTGGGGCGAATTCCGTCCTTGATCCCCTTTCCGATAACTCTGGCTCCACCCGGGGCCGGTGCCCGCGCGGCCTTCCGCAGTTCTCTTCGGCCCGGCACCATTCAGACGCCGTTCCACGTCGTGACCATGGAGCGATGATTGCAGGGTAGGAAATTTAAGCTCACATTTCTGAACAAATTACAGGATTTGCCTCAGGACTTAGTCAAAAGTCATCTCTGCCATCATGTCAAACTGATCAATCTCATCCGCCCAAGGAATATGCCCCTGAGCGCCCATCTTCCCAATGGATATAGCAGCAGCTTTATTCGAGCGAACGATGGCACTCTCGATATCCCATTCTCCAGATGGACTGGACATTTGACGCACATAGTCGGACGCGTACGCTCCGGTGAAGACGTCGCTTATCGCCTGTATTAGTCTGCGAAAGGATCTGAATCTGATGAGATGGGACTACTCACTCTGCTCCAGTCGTATCGATAACCCGGACAGGATACCCAGCGCAGTGCCCGCTGACTTCCGCGTTGGCGTAATATGCACCTTTCACACCCAGCGTGATAACCACGTTCTCGACCCCGAGGTCCAAGAATCTCTGGGCAGCTTTTGGCCAGTCCTCTTCCACCTCATCCCTCGTACAGTCCAACAGAGTCGCAGCCCCAGACTCGTTGACCACAAGATGTGTGATAAGCCGGTAGAGCAAGGGTTCGATCGGGCTCGCTGGCGTGGCATTCAAGCAGAACGGGATGCCAGCTTCACCAGCGGTATGAATCATAGTCTCAACGACCTTCTTATCGATTTCCATCTGCGCCACGATCAAGTGCGGCCACTCGTCACCTCCAAACTGCTCACAGTAGCTGAGATCCTCCCTCTTCCAGGCCGCTGTTGCCCCTGGGCTAAACACACACCGACTCTCGTGGGTTTCTCCATCGATCATGACGAAGCGTTCGTTGGACGGTAATCTTGGCACCACTGCGACACCAGAGATAGCGATATCGTTCTCGAGTAGCTCCTGAATCAGAGTCACCCCGTAGTGATCATCGCCGGCCTTTCCAATCATCTTAACCCGAATGGCACCATCGCCCGCGTCTAGAGATGGCTTGTTGTGGCAGGAGCGGTATGTCGAGAGCGCTGTGTTCGCACCCTTTCCGCCCAAGCTTTTATCGGAATGACTTGCTTCAGTGCTCTCTCCTGTCTTTGGAAAACGGGGTACGATCATGATGCGATCAACCCCCAGCGCCCCAATAACTACGATAGTCTTCATCTTTGGTTCCATCCTGTAATTGTCCATCGTAAGGGTGTTTGATGTTAGTAAGTCAGGAATCGTAAAACTGGCGGGTTGTGACGATGATGGTTATTTATGGCACTAGAATGTTTGAACAGAAGACCCTCCTTCTTTGTCTGCCCTCATATCGACCCGGGGATGTCCATGTATGCGCGGCTCAAAGAGATTGCGACCTTGTACCTGGATGAGAGCCTCCGATGTACTCACAGACTACAATACCAAGGCAGAGTTCTTTTCTCATTCTTGAAATCTTTGTGTAATGCTGAGTGAGTTTCTCCCCAAATTGATAATATCCGTCTTACATGCATCGCCCCTGATCGTTATTCGCCCATAACTCCCCATGTAGATTGCATATGAACTCAACGAACTCTCGGAGAAGTCTTCCCATTATTCCTCATGAAAATGGTGGTACAACTAGGGCGCTCACCCTCTCTCCATATAAGACTTTCTGATTGTGATTCACGAGACCACTCCGTTCTAGGCTTGAAATCAGCCCCAATAATTGCGATATTCTGCGGTGTCATGGTGTCATCTTTCAAACGCGAGGTCTCGTGATGTTTTATGGAGGCAGCAGCTTATAGCCGTCGGGCCACTGAAAGATGGTTCTCCGAGGTAGTGGTGTGGAGCGGTGTAGTATCTTCATGTTGTTGCTGGAGAGGCTTTAAGTGCCTACGTCGGCTACTGACGCGAGTAAACAAGCCAACCCCCTTTCCATTCATTCAGTTACGGCCTTCGATCTAGCTCAATCAGAAATCAGGAAAGATCAGTTCATGAGAGCTGCTTCGCTATGCAGCCCGCTGGCGCAGTTCATGTGACGCCAAGGTACGCCGACATAGTAGGCCAAGAATGATAACAATGCATGCAAGCAGCAACAAGACTAGCCTACCTCTCAAGACGTGTCCCCTCTGACGGCCCATGACCTGCTCCCTGCTGCGGAACAAAGAGGGGTAAGTTTAGTTGCACCACAGCACAGGGTCTATGTACCTTAGACAACAATCGTCCAAGTAAAATACACAGTTTTGGCGGTTAAGATTCACCGTCAGTGCTAAGTGTACAAAGAGAAGTACTAATGCAGGCTCGTTTACACTCCGATACTGCATTCACGCAGCCTCTAAATCATTCCCGAGACCAGCCTTCCTGGATAACTTCTCTCTCGATGACTCGACTCAGTTGAACACTCTGCTACCAACTAGCTCGCCACAGGTGGCAAGTTCCTCCCCTGTCCATCGCACTTCGGTCGACCGGCAAAGCCGGGCACAACGGGAAGATTAACGTCGCAGATTTTGGCTCTCCGCTTGCTTACAAAGTGTTTTCATAAGACGCTAGTAATGACTGAGGTGGTCTAAGAATGATGTTTGTTTTTATTCATTTTTGATGTATGTTCTAGAGTTCCAAGAGAATGAGACAAAAGAATACCCCCAAAAGCAAATGGTTTTGCATACAAATTATTCAAATGACAAGGTGTAATGAAAGACCAACAAGATAATATAAGGAAAGCAAAATGCCAAATGTAAAAACGTATCTTGGGGTTTAAAACGACATGAAGAGACGAACGATCATGAACACTTAGAAGCTTCAAGATCTGTCGATCATGTTGAACCATGGCATCAATTCTTTGTCGTGCCGGCTCTCTGAGCAGTACTCGCAGCCGCTTCATACGCAATTTTGACCGCCGTCTCCATAACTCCCTTGGATATCGTACCCTGATATGCAAACAAATCAGCTGCAAGTGCCCCCGTAAACCTGTCCCTATCCGCCTATGTCAGTATCCAAACGAGCTGATGCAGAGAAGAGACAAGTAATTTACCGTTCGTCATCTGTATACTTTTTTTCGCCCCTATTCTCGCCCCTATTTGTGAGCTTAATTTTGGTCCAGGAATAGTCCCACAAAGGCCCATGCATACACCATGCACGCACATGCCCCTGTGTGATAAACACATTCCTCACTCCCAACTCATGTAACTTCTTAGCAGAGTCGAATACCTCTCCGTTCTCGGAAGATAATTTCTTAGCCTCATCTTCATCGACCACAAGATATGTAATATGCCCCAAAAGACTCTCAGCGATTGAATACGGAGGCGCCTTGGCTAAGAACACCTCAATATTATTGTTTTTGGCACACGTCAAAATCTTCGTAAAGACTTCCTTTTCCAGTTCTGTCGAGATAATGATCAAATCTGGCTTGGGATCGCCTCCGAAGCTCTGAGCATTCTCAAAATCTTTCTCTGTCCAACAGGCAGGCGTGGCCGGATTAGGTTCTCTATAGCGCTCGGTTTCGCCGGTACTTTTCGTCAGTACGTTGAAGCAAACGTCTGTATCTTTGTCCGGCATTATCTTGATGCCGTCTGTACCGATCTTGAATTCCTTAACTTTCGCTATGATCTTTTCCGTGTAATCGTCTCTCCCGATTACACTGACCATCCTGACGTCAGGAACCCGATTGATGCGCCCCTTTTCGAATGCTAGCCCTAAGGTTTGATAAGCCGTGCTTGCAGTAGTAATGCCCTTGATGGCAGCCTCATCTTTGAGTGCTGATACCCCTTTCTCAATATCTGCACCGGGGGGAAGGGGCTGCTCCTTAGTCAGGTCCATGTCGAGTCTCAAAGCCCCTATAACCGCAATAGTCTTCGTGTTGGGTGCCATGATGCAGTCCTGATTGCTGAAAGTGGAGGTACTTGGTGGTGAGAGAATGATAATCGTCAAGCTTTGTGGTCGTGGTGTTGTTTCTTATGGAAGCAAGGCAAGGGAACACCAGATGCTCATTCTTGAGTGTTTACTTATAAGATTGGAACGAACAGAACAGGTGGGCAGAAGATGCCCATCCATTCATATGACTTGTAGGCCTTGGATGGATGAACAGAAGAGGTCATTCTTTGTTAATAGTTACAGGATTTGGACGGGTGAACAGAGGATGTTTGTTCCCAAGTGTTTGCTACAGAATTGGCGTAAAATGCTGAACAGAAGATGCTCATCCTTTGCCTGGCCCCGCGTACCGCATCGATACCCTCCCGTGTTAATATTGTCTCCTATGTTGAATGTTCTCTTCTGTTCTCGCGGACTGCTTACCAGAACATCTTCTTTATTAATCAAAATCATTCGCTTGCAACTGTAATGCTTCTGCCAAGACCCATGGCTACCTGACAGGATCCCTCGACCGTCCCTGATTCTCAATCGCCCACAGCTCACCAAACCGACTCCCCTCCGTCTCAACAAGCTCCTTCGGGCTGCCCGTCTCGATGACGCGCCCCTGATCCATGACGATCACCGCATCAAAGAAGTCCATCACCATGTCCAGGCGATGCGACACCATCACAATCGTATACGTCCTAAACTCCTCCTTGATAATCTCCTGCATCAACCTATCCGTCGCGTGATCGACGCTGGAGCTGACCTCATCCAACAACAAGATCCCGCCGCCGCGCCGCTTGAACTTGGCGTCTTTGACCCGGCGTCGCAGGATCGCCCGCCCAAGGCTGAACAGCTGCTTCTGTCCCGCGCTAAGACTGTCTGCGCTCATGGATTCGCGCAGGCCACCGCGCTCTTCGACAAAGGTGCCGAGTTGCACAGCGCGGAGGACTGAGAAGCACTCTGCGTCTGTGGCTGCGTTGAAAGGGTCGATGTTCGCTTTGATGGTGCTGCCATCGGGGAGGAACACGGCATCTTGGGGCACGGAGATGATGCGGCGGCGGAGAGTTGATCGGTCGATGCGGTGGAAGGGGATGCCGTCCATCTCGATGTTCTTTGGAGAGGACGATACTGGGTCCAGAAGCCGGAGGAGGAGAAGAATGAGTGACGATTTGCCGCTAAGGGGATGAGGTCAGCATTCGTACGCTTCATGGGCAGTCCGATGCAAAGGTGAACTTACCTTCCCGTTCTGCCACACAGTGCAACCTTTTGGCCAGGCTGGATGGAGAAGTTGAGGTCTTTCAATGCGAGATGCGGAGGAGTTGTCGCGCCATCCGATGTTGCTTGCTGTTCATTGCTTTTACATATTGTCAGCGCCGTCTACAAATGGGTTGGGCTCAACTTACTTGTATGAGGCAGAGACGCCGTTGATCTCGATGCGCCCCGTCTCAGGCCACTCTTCGGGCGGCTCTATATCCTCACCTTCGAGGTCTTCAGGGCTAACCTTCTCGGAAAAGGTCTTGATACGAGAAACAGCACCGATCGAAGTCTCGAGCTGGGTGTAGAACCGGACAAGTGATGAAAGGGTCTCGCCCCACGACATCAGAGTGACTAGAGAGGCACCCGTGAAGCCTGAGTTGGCTCGGAGCTGGGTGGCAAGGGTCACAAGAATGACGGCTAAACCGGCCACCATGAGCTGCATCGTGACGACGAGCCATTGCTGGATCATGGCGAGTAGATATGCCGGTCGTTGCGAGGTATCCAACATGTGCTGGTTGTGAGCAATGTCCTTGTGTGCCCAGCCAAAGGCACGTATCGTGGCGACGCCCTTTATGGTGTCAAGGAAATGCGTGCTAGCAACTGTTAGTCAGATACTCTGTAACCGCCTAGTCTTTCGTGTACATACTACAATGGGCTTTTGGACTCGAGATCCAGGAGTCGTAGCTGGCGAGAAGTCCGAAGGTAGAACTTTTGGATGATCCAGCAGAAAGCAATCAACAAGGGATAGCTAACAGCCATGTAGGGGGATGCAACGGCGACTACAGCACCCATACCTATTGACTCGAATCCGGCCAGCACAGCATTAAGCAGCGCCATCGGTAGCTCGTTGTCGATAAGTGTCATGTCCTGGGAGAAGAGATTTGTGATGACGCCAGAGTCTGTTGTAGTGAAGAATGTGAGAGGCGCGTGGATGACAGTCTTCAACGCTTGCTGATGTAAAATGGTGCCGGAGGAGGTGGTCATGTAGATGATCAAGGCAACACCTGCCACCATGAGAGAAACGAGCTGCAACGCCTTGAAGAGGCCGAACAATCCGACGTAGTATCCGCTGCTTTTGTGAAGGGTATCTTCGGCCCAGTACTTCATCCAGATCGTAGGAAATTGGTTCCACACGGAGTACGATGCGGAGAAGAGAACGAATATGATGGTTGATGTTAAGCTCAGACTACGGAAGTAGTGGGCATAGACCCTCACGTCTCCCGTCTGTCTCGACTTCTCCATCATCTCGTCGGCAACGGCCGGAGCCCGCTTCGCTTTCGGAGGTTGACCGGTGATGGGTTTATTGGAAGTCTCAGACCCGAAGTCGGAATCGGTATCAGAGTCTGTGGCCTTCACCCCAAGACTGGCAACATACTTCTTATCGCGCATCAGGTCGGCAAAAGTACCTTCCTCGGCAAGAGTGCCATCCGTCCCCAAGGCGATGATGTGATCTGCCAGTGGCAGGTACTTGATCGCATGTGTGCAAAGTACCGCTGTTGATTTCCGTCGGCGAATGATACCGTCGAGTCCAAACACCCTTCGAAAGACTTCGGACGCTGTGTCATTGTCAAGCCCGCTTAGGATGTCGTCGAAAATGAGGAGATCGCTATTCAGGTACAGGGCACGCGCCAGTGACACACGCTGCTTCTGTCCACCGCTAAGCATGATTCCGTTGCTACCAATCTTCGTATCGTCACCATAGGGGAGAAGCAGAAGGTCCGTCTGAAGCATACATGCGTCGATGATCTCGTCGTATCTGGCTTGGTTGAAAGTCGACCATCCGATAATGTTGTCTTTGATGGAACCGTTTGACAAGAACGGGTTCTGCTCGCAGTACCCGATGGCAGCGTTGCGTGATGGCACAGAGACCAAGCCGGTGTTGAATGGCACTTCACCTAGGAGAACCTTGCAAAGGGTGGACTTTCCTGATGCTACAGGCCCAACCACGAGGGTGAGCTGAGCGGCCGGGATAGAGGCCGTGATATTGTGGAGCACCATCTTATCCGCCGTCCAGCCGAAACTGCCATCAACAAGAGAAATCGCTGGCCTTGAGCTGCTGAATTCGGAGTCTTTCCGATCCGGGAACGTTTCCAGAGAAATGTCATCCGAGTTGTCGCGAAACGGGCTCTCCTCGGACGACCTCTCCTGGAATGCCGAAGGATGGGCAGATTGCCGGAAATCAATGCGTGATTCTCCTTCAATGTACTTTTGAATCCGATTAAGACAAGTAAACGCCGCGATGATGGTCGGAACAGACTGGAAAAGCTGGCCTAATGGGCTGTTGAGAAGGACCAAGAATGAGAAAGATGTGAAGATGGTCGTAGTATCCAGACGTTCTTGCGCGAAGACGAACGTAATTGCGGGAGATAGCATGCTCGGAGCCAATGCAGCAAGCGCCGTGACGATGATCAGCCAGCGGAATTGATTGCCGATGCGCATCTCCTCCACGCGCATTCTCTGGACAAACTCTGCGACAGGCTGCGTGATGCCGGAGATGCGTAAGTACTTCATGTTGGAAATGACATTGGCAGTCAGTCCAACGCGCTTCTGAATCTGAGCCATCCAGCGAGACTGGCGCTCACCGGTAAACTTGGCTACGGCAGCGGTGACGCCGGTGCACACGAGAATGACAATGAGAGGCGCGACGAAGGCTGTACCGAGCTGGCCCTGTAGTAGCCAACATCCAAGTGCAATTTCGATAACGTTGGCCCAGATTTCGTGCAGACTGTAGAAACCACGGACGATACGCTCGGTGTCAGTACTCATGAGAGTCACTGCCGCCGCATCCCCGGTGTCTGTGAGCGCGGCTTCGGTGGTCTTCTTGTAGATAATTGCTGATAGGCAGCCCCGAGACATGTACAAGGCTCGCTGCTGAAAGTAGTAGTACAGAGCCGTGGAGACGGCGATCCCCGTATAGATCAGAACAGCAGCCCCGATAAGACCGTAGCTCATGTTATTTGACGCGTTGTCATCTTGCAGGTACTCGAGAAGAGTTTGGATGAAGAAGGGTTGGCTGAAGCTGAATCCGATGAGGGCGATCCGTGGGGCGACAGGCAAAAGTAGAGGGACAGCCAACGCCTTGGCTAGGTCTTTTGCGAGCCCGTGGTTTTTGCCGCGGTTCTTGCCCTTTTCGAGTTCTTGAGCGAGAGTAATTTGCATCGTCTCGGCTATCATGCCACGGTCGAGAGCATACAAGTCGCCGATCTTTAGGACGTTGCGATAACCGTGGAGGAAGAGGCGATTGAGCCACCAGTAGACGCCTAAACTGAACAAGCCGCTTGTCTCCTCCGGGCTATGTTCTTCGGCGGTCCAGCGAATCCATCGTGATTTCCTCTGGGCCTCGATGACGAGGATGGCAAGCTTTATCACCAGCGAGGCCGTGAACAGTCTTGCGAACAGTTGTGTTGAGAAAGTCCTAGCTACCAACCATGACGTCCTCGTTTGAGCAATGTCAAAGAGAATCTGGAGAAAAACGTAGCCGGTCAAAAGCAACGAGGGCCTAGGTGCTCTGGAGTGTTCGGCATACGATAATCCGACCATGAAAAGCGCGGCGAGGAAGCCGAGAGCTGAGGCCGAGGCGGCAAACCCATCTATGCGCGAGCCACTGGAAGTCGTCTGTAGAATGAGAATTGCGAATTGCAGCGTTGCAAATACTGTTATGATGGCCTAGACGAAGGGAAATTTAGAACCAAGTCTCAGATGAAGTTTGCCCCCATGGACTACTGTCACCTACCAATTTTACGGTTTGAAATGTTTTG